CAAAGCATCTAAGGGATTTAGGGGCATAAATGTCAGTGAAGACAATGGGACATATGCTCCTAAATGCCTTAGGTGCATGGGAAACTCTCCTTTTACAACAACTAATCCCCACAAACAAAGGGGATGATTCTCACTTACTTGCGCTTGGCTCAGTGGGTGAGGACTTTAAATACTCTTTGTACTTTCTGCACTCTTGGGCTGTTCAGGGCCCTGCCAAGTCCCGGGTGTAGGTCAGAGCAGTCTCAGGGCTGCTCTAACATAAGCTTTGTTCCCAATGGTCCCCAGATGTCATTGGAGGAAGAAAACAGCCATGCCATTACCCTGATATGCCCTTGTGATGGAAGCAGAGCCAGGTAGAGTCCTTACAACAGCTGTATTTTTGGGTGGAAGGCGGGGGGACAGTGGGGGTGGATTTTCACCCCTTCAGGTCTTCCTTACAGTGCTGTCAAAGGTCCTTGGCCTAACTGAGGGTCTTGACCAAGCCAAACTGTCAGACCAATAGTAATTGTCAGCCTTGTTCCCTCGCCCACTCTTGTCCTGAGTCACGCAGAGTTCTCACTGCATGATTCCTCCTGTGGGAGCAGGGTTTGCAGTCACGACGAAGGACAGGATCTCTCAGCCTCTGATGTGATCACTGCCGGCTGGATTAGCCTCACCCCCACGCCACCCAAAACGTGATCTGGATCCAGGGAAGACTGCGGCTCCAGTGATGCGGTTTGGGCCCTTCCCTTCTACGTCACCACCGCGAGGGCTTCAGACAGGGCCGTGAAAAGCCAGTGACGCTGGAGCATGCGCAGCAGTGGGTTCTGCAATGCTGCGTGTTTATTCCATGATGAACTGCAAGGCCCCGGGGGTGTGGAATTCCCCGGTGAGGCTCCATCCAAAAGAGACGCGATCGCTCACCACTGTGCTCATATGAACCAGGAGATGGCCCCTAGTGCGACCAGGTTTACCTAGCATCTGCTACCCAGGAGACCCTTTCTCAAGAGCCAATGGCAGAATCCACCACATGGGCTCACTGGCTTGTTAGTTCTCAGCCAGCTGGTTTACCCTGCTGCTCCCAGAGTTGCTTATGTGGGTACCCTGTTTTCTCTTCCCATTGTGGTATTTCCTGTCATGCAATGGCTGACTCATGCTGCCAGGATCAGAGCATCTTTTCTCCTTGGCTTCATGGAAAATTAGGTCTAGAAGTTTCAAAACAGCAGGGTCATTAGGGTAACATTGCTCAATTGTTCGCTCTCTTCAGGATTCTGCCAGCTCTGTTCCTTCACTTTGCCTGCTTTACACTGGCTGTTTTTTTTTTTATGGCTGTTTTTTTTAGTTTAAACTAAATAGTTTTAGTTCATTTATTAATCTCTTCAGAATAACAAGTGAATGGCTCCCTCTGAGGGTGGATCTTCTCTAGGTCATATAATGCTTTCTTACCTTTGGCTAACACATGGTAACTAACGTGAGTTAAAGTCCTAGTGAGGACAAGATGGTTTGTCATTTTTCACGTGTGTCAGCAGGTCGAAGTAAAGACTGTTGGGGAGTCTGGGGTTTAACTTGACCTGTTAACACACACACGTGAAAACTACAAACTTCCTTGTCTTCACTAGGATTTTAACTCCTGTCATTTACCACGTGAACTAACATGAGGTAAGAACGCACCTTTATTCCTAGTGAAGACAAGGCTCGAGGGTGGGGCCCAGAGCCCAGCTCTCAGCTAAATCTTTCTGCTCTGTTGCTCTTCCCAAACATAATAGGGTTAACGTTGTCTTGCACGTTACCCCTCTGCTCTGATCTCTGTGGCCTTGGTGGTTGTTTTGCTTCCTGCTGTTACTGATTTTGGTTTTAAGACATTGTGAAAATGTTGTGGGGCTGGTTGTGGTGTGTTTTTCAATCTTGAAAAACAAAAATAATTTCAAGATTTTCCACATTCCCCCTCCCCCCCATTTTTAACCAGCTCTACCTGCTGCCAGATGGAATCACTTATGCTTGTGCAAAGTGAGTGTGCGAGCGTGGAGGGTTCTGGGTTGATAGCATTTTACCCACGCTTTGCACAGCACTAGTGCGAGTAACGATAAAAGACAACACCACACAAGGCACTGGAGGTTCAGGCCATAGGTTGAATTCTGGGGGTGAGTCAATTTCACAGCATCATAAAATGGTAGGACTGGAAGGGACCTCGAGAGGTCATCTACTCCAGTCTCCTGCACTCATGGCAGGACGAAGTATTATCTAGACCAGTGGTTCTCAAACTTTTCTGCTGGTGACCCCTTTCAAATAGCAAGCCTCTGCATGCGACTCCCCTTATAAATTAAAAACACTTTTTAAATATATTTAACACCATTAGAAATGCAGGATGCAAAATGGAGTTTGGGGTGGAGGCTGACACCTCGTGCCCCCCCCGTAATAACCTCTCGATCCCCTGAGGGGTCCCAACCCCCAGTTTGAGAACCCCTGGTCTAGATCATCCCTGGCAGGTGTTTGTCTGACCTGTTTTTAAAAATCTCCAATGATGGAGATTCCACAACCTCCCTAGGCAATTTATTCCAGTGCTTCACCACCCTGACATTTAGGAAGCTTTTCTTAATGTCCAACCTAAACTGCCCTTGCTGCAATTTAAGCCCGTTGCTTCTTGTCCTATCCTCAGAGGTTAAGGAGAACAATTTTTCTCCCTCCTCCTCGTAACAACCTGTTATGTACTTGAAAACTGTTGACATGTCCCCTCTGTCTTCTCTTCTCCAGACTAAACAAACCCAATTTTTTCAATCTTCCCTCCAAGGTCATGTTTTCTAGACCTTTAATCATTTTTGTTGCTCTTCTCTGGACTTTCTCCAGTTTGTCCACCTCTTTCCTGAAATGTGGCCCCAGAACTGGACACAATACTCCAGTTGAGGCCTAATCAGCGCAGAGTAGAGAATTACTTTTCGTGTCTTGCTTACAACACTGCTACTAATACATCCCTGAATGATGTTTGCTTTTTTTGCAACAATGTTACACTGTTGACTCATATTTAGCTTGTGATCCACTATGACCCCCAGATCTCTTTCCGCAGGACTCCTTCCTAGGCAGTCATTTCCCATTGTGTATGTGTGTAACTGATGGTTCCTTCCTAAGTGGAGTACTTTGCATTTGTCCTTACTGAATTTCATCCTATTTACTTTAGACCATTTGTCCAGTTTGTCTAGATCATTTTGAATTTTAATCCTATGCTCCAAAGCACTTGCAACGCCTCCCAGCTTGGCATCGTCCTCAAACTTTATAAGTGCACTCTCTATGCCATTATCTAAATCATTCATGAAGATATTTCTTCCTTCGAAGGTGGATATGTAGGTTTCCACCTGATGTGTGGGGCCTTGGGCTGAGCCCTTAAAAGGCACAATTCTGTCTTATCTAAGGTTCCCAGGGCGTGTTTTGTTAAAGGAGAGGTTTTCCACTGTCTGCTTGGCCACAATTTCCCCCTGGGCATTGCTGTTCAATGTGCTTCACGCTGGCTGCTGCCCTTCACGCGAAAGGAGGCTGCTGGCTGCGTTTCAGTGGCACGGTGGTTAATAGGGACTGAAACAGTTTTGTTCCTTCCGTGTGCTATAAAAATGGAAAACGTTATTTATTATAAACATGCCCATTTCCTTTAATTAATTAATTAATTAATTCCTATGTCGCCTGTCGCTTCTCAAGAGCTCAGTAAAGATAATAAATGGACCTGCCCACCTCTTTGGACAAACTTTCCCCTCTTCTTCCGGCCCTAAACCCCAATCGCCTCTCTCCAAATCTGTTATACCCTGTAGCAAAATTCCAGGGCGAGAATAGCGTGTGTGTGTATGTGGGTGTGTGTATGTGGGTGTGTGTGGGGGTGGGGGTTTGCAGGTCAGGATTGAGGGGCAGTGGCAGAGTTGTAGGGGGCTCAGGACTCAAGTAACAGAAGACACCAGGGTGGAGAAAAACTAGGACAGAATTGAGGAGCATTGGCAGAGCTGTGTGTGGGGAGCCAGGAGCTGGGATAACGGGGGGGGGGGGGGCTGCAGGGCAGGATTGAGTAGGGTTGCCAACCCTCCAGGATTGGCCTGGAGTCTCTAGGAATTAAAGATTAACCTTTAATTAAAGATTACATCATGTGATTAAATTTCCAGGAATATGTCCCACCAAATTTAGCAAACCTATCATTGAGGGGCAGTGGCAGAGCTGTCTGGGAGCTGGTTGTTGGGAGTAGGGTGACCAGATGTCCCGATTTTATAGGGACAGTCCTGATGTTTGGGCCTTTTTCTTATCTAGGTGCCTATTACCCCCCACCCCGATTTTTCACCCTTGCTATCTGGTCATCCTAGTTGGGAGCTGCAAAATCTTGCCACCAGGACACCCTGACACGGGGGAACAGGCCCTGAAGTGGGGGGTGTGTGCGCACGGGGGTGTGTAAGAGGTGGCTAGCGCAACGCCCTCCGCCCAGGCCGCTGTCCACCGGCCGCGGCTGTGTTCTGAGATTGCTGGTCCTCAGCAGCTCGCCGCGCCTCCCAAATGAACAAGAAGAGGGGCTAAAAATCAGTCGCCCTGGGGTGCAGCAGGAGAGTTTGGCCCACGGGTGCGCGCGCCCCCCAGATTCGGCCCTGCACCGGGCACGGCCAGCTGGGTGCTGGGGTCAGCTGGTAGGGTGACCTGACAGCTGACCTGACAGCAAATGTGAAAAATCGGGACAGAGGGTGGGGGGTAACATAAGAAAAGGTCCCCCAAAATCAGGACCGTCCCCACACAATCGGGACATCTGGTCACCCTATCAGCCGGGGAGGGGGTGAGGAGCCCATGAGAGATTGCATTGGGGGGGGCTGATCCGGCTGGTGTAAATCAGGAGTGACACCGGAGTCGCTCCGGTGCAAAGCCGGACCGGGCCATGCCCCAGCGTGGGGCTTGTGACGTGGACCGCTGCGGCCCGGGGCGCTGCTCCTGAATATTCATCGCGCCGGCCGGCCGGGAGCCAAGCGGCCCTGCTGACGGGGGTGGGCAGCAGCGCGCTGCCGTTGGCTGCCTGGGAGGCTCACGGCACCGGGAGCAGCCGAGGGGTTTGGCCGGGAGCGGAGGGAGAGGTTGCGGGAGGGACACGCACGCACCCCCGCAGCTTGGGTGGGTCCTGTGCACGGACTAGAGCGGAGCTGGAAAAGCCCAGAGCAGCTTGGAGCCGGGGCTGCTGCTAGCGGATGAGACCCTCCCCCGCGGCCTTTGGGAGATGGCAGGGGGAGGAGAGATTTAGAGGAGACACACGAGTGTGTGTGTGAGTGTGCAAGGAGCGATCTGCCTTGTCAGTCGGAGCATGGGCTGCTGCTGGGAGCCTTCTGCTCGGCTGCCTGCTCCTTTGTAACATCACAACAAAGGCTGTGGCGTGTAACTGGGGTAAGTGACAGCTCCGATTCCCTCCTGCTTCTTTCCAGCGCCAGCCCAGCATGGGTTAGATGTGGCTATGTCGATTGCAGGCATGGCAACAAGACCCCCCTCCCCACCCCAAGAAAACAGACAGCTTGACCGGCTAAGGAATGGACCCCAGAGCCCAGCCCCTGGCTTGAAAATCCTGCTCAGCTGCAGGATTTGGGGGGCTAGGCTGTGACCGCCCTTATTACCACATGCTGGGAATACAGGCACAAAGCCGGAGGAAATGTAACCTCTCCCAGATCAGCGAAAACGTCTGGCCGTGTCAGGGCTGCGGTGGCTAGCTAACCCTGCTGGGTGAAATAAGGCCTATCCCAGGGCCGGGGAGGCGGGAGGAAGTGGGATGTCTGCATGGATGGTTGCATCTTTTTAGGGTAAGGTCGCCTCTTTCGTGCTATTGTGGGCAAAACTCCGGGCCAAGGGGTCGTGGTAATGAGGGCATGGCAGATCCTCCCCGGGGTGGTTAATTAAAATGTTGCAAACACTGAGGTTTCTGAAGGAAAGGGGAAGGCTCAGAAAAATAGTGATAATGTTTTATCATCATCTCTGAAAGTTTTCATGTCCTTTTGATGCTGATAGACAGTGCCAGGTCAGCCGCTCTGGAGAAGGGGAGTTTGCCCAGGCAGGATCTGCTCTACAGCCAGAACGTGTAGGAGCTTCTCCTTACTAATCCATCCGTGGGCCTCAACCTTATCCCGGAGAGCTCACCCGTAGGGCTCAGGGGAGTTCAGTTTCCATGGCCCGGTGTGTCCTTGGCCTTTCTGCGGAGTCTGCTAACAGGAGGCCACTTACCACTAAGGTCTGGTCTATGCAGTTTTTGTACTGGGTTAACTGTGTCTGTGAGGGGAGTGATTGTGTTTAAATGCAATAGTTAAATCGGTACAATCCCTAGCACATGCAGTTATACAGGATAGAGGTGCCTTATCGTGGTAGAATTTATTCTCCTAAATGTACAAGAATGAGGTATATTATAAATGGGCCTTTAAACTGGTATAAATGGGTCCTCACTGGAGGGTTGGGATGATTTAACTACAGATTTCCAAGGGATATAGTTAAAGTGGTACAAAACCTGTGTTTACATACTCATAGACTTTGTCTATGATTGGCAGAGGGGTTACTTGCCCACTTCATTTTGAATGGTTTCTTGCAACGTGTCAGCTTGTATTTAGCTGTGACATACTGAGTACCTTTCCCAGACCTGAAGAAGAGCTCTGTGGAGCGCCAAAGCTCGTCCCTTTTACCAACAGATGTTGGTCCAATAAAAGATATCCTCTCACCCACCTTGTTTCTCTGTTATACACCCTGTCTCGTATAGATGTGACTGGGAAACTGCATATATGTCACAGACCTTACCTCTACATCCGATTAAGTATTAATAGCATCCTGCCCCGAGATCTGCCTATGCGGCACCGTAACTGCTCACCTGTTGCTTGGAGTTTAGCATGATTTAATACAACAGGAAAATGAGATTAAAACCACTTAAAGTTGTTGCTGGAACCAGCTCCAAACATGGTTTAAGATACGGGTGCTTTTTCATAGATTATAAAGTCAGAATGGATCACTGTGATCATTTATCTGAGCTCCTGCATAACACAGGCCATAGCCCTTCCCCGAAATAATCCCTCTTCGAAAAACATCCAGTCTTAATTTAAAAGTTTCCAATTGTGGAGATTCCACCCCAAGCCTTGGTAAGTTGTTCCAATGGCTAATTGCCCTTGCTGTTAAAAATTTACATTTTATTTCCTGTCTGAATTTGTCTAGGTTCACCTTCCAGCCACGGGATCTGGTTGTTATTGAAACACCTCTGAGATCTCGCTCTGTATTGGATCCTTTTCATTTTGCATACAAAGTTTAACCAAATTAATGACACTGGAGGAAGGAGGGAGGGGGAAAGAACAAACTGGCTTCTAAAAATCTTGCAGTGCTAACGGGGCCTTATCAAAGTGGATGGGTCAAACTCTGGACCTGTCTGCTGCGGCTGTAACTTACATCTGTTCACCAAAGGTGAAATTCAGCCCTCCGCAGGCAGCCAGCACAACGCCCAGCCATAAATAAAACCCTGTTTTGAGGGCTTAAACGGGAAACACCTGATTCATAGGCCTTGTGCCAATCCACTGTGCCAGGGCTGTTTTCCCACCCCAAAGTCACCCAGAGCGGTATCCACAGCCCACTGAACACGCAAAGTGTTTTGGAAAAAATGCTGCACTATTTTTAAAAGTTACTCACCAGCCCTGCACTTGTGATGAGCAATGTGACAGACATAGATCAGTGGACTGAAGTGAGCACGTGCAAGCTAACACAGTGCAAAATCTGGGGCCTTTCCGGGTACGGGCCAAGGTAAATATTTCCTCACAGGCGTTTGAAAATAGGGTGGGCAGGGAATTGTAAGTACGGGGAATTATTGGAGAGGGATTTGTGGTGAGTTGTCTTAGATTGATGAATTTAGGCACACAGGTCAGAGCCTCAAAAGTATTTAGTTTCCTAACTTCCATTGAATTCAAACAGTTTCAGTGGATGTTAGGGGCCTAAATACCTTTGAGGGTCTGGGCCCTAGAGCATATGGCTAGAGATGCCCTTTGTAGAATTTTTATGAATCAAAATAAATAAGCACCCTACAATAACAACCCGGTAGATTTCAGAGTAGCAGCTGTGTTAGTCTGTATCTGCAAAAAGAAAAGGAGGACTTGTGGCACCTTAGAGACTAACCAATTTATTTGAGCATAAGCTTTCGTGAGCTACAGCTCACTTCATCGGATGCACTGTCAGCGTGTCTATGTAAGAGAGGAAAACCCATGGGGAGGGGATGAAACAGGTTTTACATTTCAAGCTTCCAAAGAATTATTGCAATGAAACCCCACAAAACTGTTAAAAAATGGCCAGGAATACTTTTGATCATAGCACTTTAAGAAACAAAAGCATGATGTCAGAGCATGAGGGCAATAAAGGAATGAAGAGGAGTCAAGCCCTTATTTCTAATGAGGACCCAGCTTTGTAAACAGTCAGATTGCCAGGTACCAAGTGGGGGACAGACTGGTAAACATTAGCCGGTGTCTCTCCTGCAGAGGAAGTGCCTTACCAATAAAAAAGGCGAACACTCAGGGAACAGCAAAGACAAGGAGGTGGGGAATCCAGAGCAGAGCCATCTGCTCAAGGGGAATCCCTGAAGAGTGGATAATCAGTCAAAGGCAAGTAGCCAGGCAAGGACAACGGTGATACACTCATTCAGCTGATGAGCTGATCTCGGGACCTGATGATGGCAGAAGCCATCAGGGTTTAGGGCCTGATCCACAGCCAAGGGCGAGTCTGATCATTGGTTTCCATGAGCTTTGGATCACCTCAGTGTGGGGGGGAAAGGGGATGGGCACGTGCACGGAGGGCAGAAGTTAAGAAGATGCACGTGAGTCCTCTGGCGTGTCTGGCTCTGCATCCAAATGTTCCTAGGGCCCCGTTGTGGTACCTGCACAAATGCTGAGTGAAAGGGCTTTGAATGGTACCCTTTGATCAGTGACATGCACCCCAGGAGAATCGTCAGTTCCTGTGTGCTCCAGCAACGTTCCCTCCCCTCCAATCCCCACTCCACTGTGCTTCCATCTTGCAGGGCAGATTTCCGCCCTGTCAATTTGACCCTGTAAATGCAGGATCTGCAAGCCCTGTTTAGGTGCGAGCATTTGAACCCTGGGCTCAAACCCTTGGCCAAGCCCAGCTGATCTCTGATGGGTTTTGCCCCATCAAGGCAGGTTCACTGAGAAGAGCTTTTAATGCAGAAAACTGGGGGAAAGTATCTTTACTTGTGGTGGTATAGCTGCATCAAGGCTCTCCAGCTGAGAGCAGGGTCCCAATGTTTACGTACAGTGCCTAGCACATAGTGAGAGATAGTCCCTGCCTCAAAGAGCCTCCAGGCTACATAGACAAAGGGTGGGAAAGAGGAGTATTATTAATCTCCAGGCACAGAGAGATTAAGTGATTTACCCACACCACAAAACCTTCCCATAGTCTTGTCCGATTGGCACAACTCGGGAGGAAGCCCAGGACTAGAGCAACAGGGGGTACTGTTGGTCAGGACTGAGGGTGCATAAGGCAGAGTTTTTATATTGCTGACCCATGCAATTGTGTCTGGCTCCCGCAACAGGTTTCAAAAGAACAAAGGCTTCCTGTTTTCAGTGGGAGTTCAGGGTGGGGTTTGCATGCGCCCTCAGCGTTGGCCTCACTCTCTTCCCGTTGGAATCAACAGTTGACGGTGGTGGGCTCAGAGTTCGGCCAAGCCCGTTGTTTTGATTCACCGGGGGGTGGAATTCCCCTCTGTACAAGGCCTTCGTACCATTCAGGTTCTACCTCAGACTGTTGGGCTGTACCATGTCAGGCAGGTTTCCAAACTAGGGTTCACAACTGCCTAGCGATCGGTGAAGACTTTGGCAGGGATTTGGTTTTTACCCAAATGCATGTGACACACTGCCCCCTCCCCCAATTCCGGAAGGAGCCCTGGGGTTCAGAAAGTCTGAGATCCTCTGATAAGCAGCATGATCTAGATGGCATAATCGAGATGTGCTCTGAGTGCCACTTAGAACAGGGTAGGAGCCTTTTCTTTCCTTTGTGAGCAAGAACATGTTCAGGGCCTGGGAGAAATGTGCATTTCTAATCTGAGGTTCAACTGCAAGATGCTCACGGTGGCTCCACATTTGTTCTGTTTGTCTGTGGGATGGGCTTAGATGCCAGGGGCTGGATTTTAAGTCCTGGCTGCCAATGCTGTGCATACAGCTATTTGTATTTGTACAAGTGCATACACACCCATGTGGCTCGCAAGATATTTGTGTGTGCTCATACTGGGATGGTGCACTGGCCTGAGTCACAGGCACAAAAGGGGCATACGCCCAAGTTTTGCATGTGAAATCCAGTGTGTTTGTGGGGGGGAGGTTGTGTGAAATTTATTTGTGCCAGGCTCTGTGCACCACTATGAACTCCCCAAGAAC